TTTCTTTTTACTTTTCATATCATTCATTGTTCTGTGACTGAATATCGTATAATGTAACATAATAATGTACTGGTCTTAATGTGCCTAAGATAAACTTTTCGAATAATACTAACAATGAGGTTGTGTAATTCCTCCGTCTGTAGTCGGCCGCTGGGACAGAGTTAACTATGCGTTATTATACCATTACAAACTGCAACACAAATTACGGTGTGAACCGACCGAGCTAACAGCCGGGCAGCCGCCTCGCAGCTGAAGATTTTGACGTAACGCAAGATTTCCCAAACGAGTTGTTATAAATATAAAACGTCAAGTTTAACGATATTCTGTACTGGAAAACTTGTAGTATTATAGTTGTACTTAGTTAAGTCAGTACTTAGATATGTGTCACACATAACATGTCATGTCTGTATGAAGTATAGACAAATTTACGTGACTTCTTTTTAATCTTTTTTTTCTACGTAATATTTCTTTTATCGACAAATACTAAAGTCAACGTTTTACGAATACAAAACCCCCGAATGGCTTAATAAATTCAAACAATATGACACATTGATATCTTATTCTGTCCTATATTTAATCGGACATTATACGTACTTATTTATTTTTATAACAACTACTACGTTACTCACACCAATTCACACATTAACAAAGCTTTTGTCAATGGGGACGAATACAACATAATTGGGAGTAATTAGCGACGACACTCCTGGACAGTCCGTGCTGTTATAGACTCCGTTTATATTAACTGTCACGTACTCTGCAGTAGTGTATACAGAGCCGTATTATACCTGAGGCAAACTACGCAAATGCCTAGGGCGCCAGGCTAAGCAGAGAGGCAGACGTCGTACTCACAGAGCGACGGTGGTGCCAAAAAATTAGGGGCGCCAATGAGGTGCTTGCCCAGGGCGCTCTCCAGTTTTAATGCGCCCCTGAGTGTATAGATAACCTCTCATACTTTACACAGAACACGTCCACATACAACAATACCAATAATTATTTAATTATCCAACTAGGGTTGCCACCCGTACTTTATAATAAAGTATTGTACGTTATTTAAGGTAATTGTACTCTATACTTTATGAAAATAATAAAGTACACGAAAATACTTTATTTTTGCAAACTTCATTTCTATTAAAGTCGTAAGTATTTTTCGGTAAACTTATCGATTCGATATCGATATTTATCGATTTATGTTGAATCGATTTCGCCATTCACCAGCGCCACTTTGACAATTTCTAGTAAAGATGCAATTGTTTAGTCAAGATACTTCTTTAATACAAACTGCAAAAAGTAATATAATTTTTTTTTAATATAATACTAAATAACAATAAATTATACTTTATTTGTGTACTGTGTACTTTTTTTTTCTTACCTATAATCGTCAATGTACTTTAAATACCAAAAATAAAGGTGGCAACCCTATATCCAACCGGTAATAGTGTTATTATATTCCACAGTTTATATTGTATGGTTAACCGACAAATGTAGTGTAATTGACTATTGATTAATTGGAACAATGGTTGTCGGTGACAACGGTGAAGAGGTTGCATGTACCTTCCTTTAGGGATTCGGAGTTGGGTCTCGAATTTAATCATGGCCTGTTAGGTCAAAATGTAGTTTCGTAGATAATCGATTTACATATATTATATTATCCGTCTTCATATCGTTCAGTTTTGATCTTTTGAACAAGAGTCGAGAGATCTTAGTAGGACTGTTAAGATTTTCTCTTTCTTCCTAATATTTTATAACTGATATAAGTAGGTACATAACATTATATTCAAGACTAATAAATAAAATATAGTTACTTCAATTTTCATCCAGTTAAACCTTTTTCGATTATAGAATGAATTGTGCTAACTGACCACAAAAAATTCAACAATACCGCAAGCATAATTTCAATCAGGATAAAATAGTACTGAATGTAAATGTTGCTAGATTCCCTATTAAGTATGTATATTCAAGTTACAAATGTTGTCTTGTTATTTTGTCTTCTATCAACGTCAATACACCAATGTTGAACTTTCGCCCTCCACCTTGAATGTACCTGAATATAATATTTGGTTTGACTCGACAACTTTTATCGAGGAAAATCAATTTCAGTGTTTAAAAGTTTCCACTTGTACCTACTTGTTTCGAAGAACGAGATCGCTTCGAAAACTCTTTCATGTAATATTTACATATACAATCTAAGTTTTTATCATCGTGGCTGCAACGGTAGATATATATATATATATATAGGACCCGTTTGTATGTACCTCAATAAAATTTTAATGAAATAAAGATTAAGGGTCCATTTATACGCGTTAATATCTGTTAAACGGACTTATCGGTTTTTATTTCAAATATGAGGAAAAGATAATACACAGAGCCGCAATTGAAATCACGGAAAAGAGTTACTATTATATTCATATACTGGAAGTGGCTTGAATTTAAGATGACATAGGAGCTTGCGCTCTGCACTCGCATTGCCTGTGAGTGCCTTGTTTGCGATCACAGCAGAACGCAAAGAATTAGATTTCTCGACTCTGATAAAACATGCTCAGAGATCTTTGCTAAGCATAAAGTATAAAAGGTAAATACACTATTTGAATTTTATAAATAAACATTTGCAATCAACAACTAGTGAGAAATAATTTTTATTAAAACTGAGATATTTACAACACAAGGAAAGGAAAAAATAAATAAATATAGTTATACAATGTAAGATACACTATTGTCGGAATACTCAAACGCTACTCAATTTTAAGTCGTGCTTAAGTATAGTTCTGTCTCTACAAATTCTTTGTAAAATGACAGAGGTGGCACGATATTTAAGCACGACTTAAAATTGAGTAACGTTTCAGTATTCCGGCATATAACTAATAAATGAAAATCAATTTACATCTAGTCAGTTATAAAATAGACTTTTGGAGATTGACTATAAATAGCATTTTAAATAATATAGAATGATCAGTGGGCGACATAATTTTGGTCAACTTTATAAATATCGAGGTGTAATTTTGCGTGTCAATTACAGCTGAAGTGTTGACCGTAGGATCGATCACCTCGCGTAGGTCAAAGCATTGTTCCCACCGATCACAACTTGTCCTGTGGCCACTTGATGCGTCGATTGCATTCCCGTAGGCACACCAATATGACAAGATGACCTTAAATTAGTTAATTACTGTCATAATTAATCTGCTGAATCGATTCAAACGAAAATAAAGACATAGATTAACTATAACTGTGTGATAACATATACATACTTTCCCATCTAGTAAAGTTTGTAAATTTATAAGAATCAAAGGTTGTCCAAAACTAAGGATTTCTGGGCTTTATGGTTTTATCCATGTTTAAAGGTTCTCCTACTTATTTTATCTTGAATCCGATAACACAAAGTAAACTTGTTCGACCTAGATAAGAAAATATTTCGGGCCTTAGATTTGATTTTATTGATTCCCGAACGGAGATTTGACATTAATGAACTTATGGAAACAAAAAAATGTGGAAAAACGTAACCACTTATTAATTTAGTTTTAGTAAGTAGTTAGAAAGGTGTTCTCAGCGTTGTTAAAAGAGGTTGTAATAGTTGGCAAAAATAACCATTTCTACTTTCCTTTCTGTGTACTTAACGTGTTCAGTTCAACTCTCAGTTTTTTCTTGGCAACCACTTACATTACAAATGTAGGCAGCACCTGTTCCATTTTTGTAGCAAAAGATACCAAGTCTTTGATTACTTTATCATGATACTGGTATTATGCGTCTTTACTTGCGCAGATACGGAAAGGTCAAGATACGTATTAGTATACGATACATGTACTTTTCTTTATTACGTAGGTACGTTTTTGGTTAACTTCTGTACGCAACAAAGTTCGTAATTTGGCTGCGACACGTCATAAGGACGTGCGGACGAGCCCTGACCGGCAAGGTTCAGTGTCCACATTTAGCAGTGCACGGCTTTAATGACGTCATATCGTGGTACACACAATCAGCAACAAAGTATCAATCTTTGTAGCTGTACAGGAGGGAAGATATTTTGTATAGCAGTAACGTCCAGCTAACGAAGACATTACGAATTTAATACCATACGTTAAGGTCAATCATTTCCATCGAAAGTGTATGAAGAACAGACAATGAATCAACAAACTTTAGGTACTCCAAAAACTCGAAGATTTCGTGACGTACATTCCAAACACTTCAATCATAAGAAATCATTTTGTAGATTATATTCAACAAACAATGTTTCTGATCTGAAGGAACAAGTTTGTTAAACTATTTCGGATCTTCTCTGCACCTACAAAGGTGCTATTTACAGAGTTATGCTTTTACGAATACCGACTGATAATAGTGATAATATTACTTCGTTTAAAATAGAAGTTATCGTGGCAGCTTAAGGTGTCTTACGCACCGAGGTAACTTGTGGCGATGTCGCCGTTCCGGAGACGAAATTGAGGTGATAATGTTTTACGAATACAGTTTGGCAGATTACAAAGAAAAATCCTGGTTTTCTACAAATACGTTTCGGTAATTTGGCCACACAGAATTGTAAGCAATTTAACCTTAGTTAGGGAACAAGTCAAACAGTATGAAAAGCTAGGTGAAAAATTTTGCAAACAGAACGTAAACTTAGAAACAGATGGGAATATTTGCGCTGTAATCCAATAATCTTCATCTAGCTCCATTGATGCAACTCCTCATGCGCCTGACATTTTTCCGAAACTCGTCCTCATTCAGTTTGTCCCTGGGAGACTGAATTGGGTCATGTCGATCATTTCCCTTTACTCTGAATACCTGATATCGAATATTACGTTACTACTGACCGAATTCTACGTGAAAACGTGTGCTGTAAATTAATTAGGAAAATTCATTCAACTGTATTGTGGTACAATTGAAATTAATCTACAGTGGTAATCTCATGAGTAGGATTAGTTTAGTCTGCATTAATCTAATATTCGTATTCAGCATTGTACACACGTACGTCAACTGTTCTAGTGTTAATGTGATGTTTATTTTTGTTACAGATCCGTTCCAGACTCAGTTTTTACATTCCTAAAGCAAATATGGTAAGTTTATACGATTCTTTGGTTCAGTAAATACGTAGTTTTTAAGTTAACAAATATAGTCTAATGGTATCTAGTAGTTCAACGAGTTTTCTAAGGATTTAATCGCCTTAAATGTTCGCAAAAACTCATTATTTTGTTTACAGATAAAAGAAAAACTCGTTGGTACATATTTTGTTTTAACAAAGTGCTATAAAAGTTTTAATTTGTTAGTTTTATATAATGTGCTCATTGTCTAAACATTTTGTGAGCCACTTTTATTGATTTACACCCTATAATATATATGTAGTTATACAGCTATAATGGTGCGCTGATAACATACTATGATGTATTGGTCCTTCACATTATGTTGTCCGAACATAATCTTAATTTTCTATTGTTTACGCACGTCATATTCTTTTGTTAATCTTCTGAAAGGAGTCTGTAACAATAGGTTACATTAGATCTATTCTTCCACATTCCTTTTATCCGCTTTTATTATGATAGTATATGAATTGTGATCATTTTATTTATTAAACTTTCGTTGTTCATTTTTAATGGATTTATTTCTAGAATATTTAGTTCTTCAGTTCTAAACCACAGAGAATGGTCTAGTTTCGAAACAACATTCGTAGTTGGTCCACAACAAAGAAAACCACATCAAAGTATCTATAAAACGTAAATTCAGGTGAAACTCACGTAACATACAAGCGGTGATTATGATTCATTTTAAACACCGGTGTATCGATAGGCAGTCAATTGTTCGCTGATGATCCAATCAAATTATGATCGGATCTCCGGGGATTATATGAATGAAAATGTGAAAATGTGCTCGTGAATATAAAACAGGGTACTTATTCGACCCTTTTTCGAAATTGCGGATCAAATAGCGAGTGAAGTCGGCGGGGAAACGGCATTTGCTGCGGAGTTCCGGTCCGGAGGAGCGGTGTCAATATTTGTCGTGCCGAAGCTAACTGTGACACTTGTTGCATTCTGTTTTATACTCAGCCTCGTTCGTTCAAGTAAATACGATTTCGGTTGGATGTCGTACGTCGTACGTATGTGCTAAGGAGCTTATATTCCAGTGACGCAACTACAAATCTACTGACAAGGTTCTGAGCAACTTTCTTTGGTGACGACAAATAATTTATTTTATGTTGTCATATTAGTTGTGAGATACATATTATGACGTAACATTCTCTGTCTGTTTTGCGGAGAAAAAAGTATTACAAATAATGCTTTATTCTCGGTTTTAACCGTATATACTGCTATTGTGATAGTTCAGACAAAGTTACGAATCTTTTTTTTTATGGCATACATAAGCCAGTAAACGAGCAGACGGATCACCTGATGTTAAGCAATCGGCGTCGCCCATGGACACCTGGAACACCAGAGGTATTACAAGTGCGTCACCGGCTTTTTGGGGATTAGGAGTTTGAGGATCGTTGGGGATTCAGGGATTGGGGAGATTGGGGAAGGGGAAGGCTTTCTATGAGGCCGTGGTATCGCTCCGGTCGAGCCGGCCCATATGTGCCGAAGCATGGTTCTCCCACACTTAAATTTGATTCGCAGATTAGTTGTTAGTGTAGTACGGAACTCAGGATTAATAAACGTATATGACAATAAAACTCGCCATATTTGAGGTTAACGTAGCTTACTTATCAGCAGGAAACGACTGGCATGTTAAAACGTACTAATCCAATATGTCTCAACAATATTTTGTCAAAAAAATCTGTCACATGAGCCATGTAATTCAGAAGATGTAATCTGAAAGGGGATGATATGTTTGTGTAAGAAAGTGGACGCCACGACACGCTGACTTATCTTCAGAAATATAAAGTGCCATGGTCACACCGATAATGTAGTAAATCGTGACTGAGGGAAAAATCTACGGGATTCCATTGACAACCACATTTCACAAAAAATTTAAGCGGTTCTATTTCTGTTATAAAGGTAATATTTTGGTTAAAATACCTAGACTATATTTGTAACAGTTGTCAGTGAAAACTGTTGAACTTTTCCAATAAATCACTGGCTATTTTGTTTTGTCTTGTAATATGTTCAAACGTTACGAAGAATTTTGAAATTCTTTTGCTGGTCCGAGAACGATTTTTTGCTTCAACTCGACATTGCCCCGAAACTTTGTAGCCTTCAAAAAGTAATTTGGCTGTAAAACTTAGCGTTCCTGTGTTTAGTAAAGGAAATCGAGTATTAGATCCTTTTGTATATCTTATCTAATCTTATACATGCAAAAGTAAACTTGTTTGTTACTCTTTACACGTTATCTACGCTACCTTTCTTCTTGAAACGTAGTACGGACGTACGAGTACGTAGAAGGACATAAGTTCACGAAGGCAAAGTAAAAGCTAGTTTCTTATAAATGGTGTATGAATTTTGCTAAACATTTTGACTATAACATATTTAATTCAAGTCAGGCCTTAATTATCTATCAATATTCGTTAGCATAAACAAACATTGAGAATGTACGAATCGATAATTAATATCCTGTCAAAATGACATGGGAACATATCTACTACTATGTTACTTTGAAGACATCATATAATTTGATATACATACAACTTACCTTATGAAGATATTTTATGTAATTTCATAGATAATTTAAAATAGTTAGATATTTTTATCAATATCGTCTGCGGTGGATTTTGCAGATAATGTCCTTATATTAAAATGCTGAAAATAGTTCGTTACTTTTTTATTCGACTGAAATAATCTCTTAGGCTTAAAGTGAGATTTGTAAAAATATTTTATATCCATTTGGAAATGTTTTTGAGGAATATTGTAGTATGCCAGACATAACATTAGGAGGCTTAGGGTAACAGATAATAGCGAGACGAAGTAATTAACTTGGTACTTATTGGTAGTTTGTTGTCATAACTACGAGTAGGTCGGTACACTTATCTCACAATGTAAGCGCAGTTTAATATCTGTAATAGAACACAAAACTAACAACGGATATTGGGAAAATGCCAAGAAGCGTTATAACGCTGTAATTAATTGATAATACCAGGCGAAGTAATTAAACAAAGGCTGAGGGCAATAAACATATCTTGGCATTAAATTAATTGTCTATCAAACGGAAGTCCGGAGTATGAACGTTATAAAATTTAAGAGCAGTTTCAGTTTTATCGGAAATTGGCTGAAGCCTCGGGCTACAGCAGCCGTGCCAAAGTAGCGGCGGTCATTTCACAGACAAACGGATACCAATCTCCACGGAGCGCTCAGCTCAAGCGCCACACAAAAGGTCTCGCAGCCTCGCCCTCACTGCCTCCGCCAGGAACGAACCGCCATTGTTCGAAAACTATCACTTCCCTTTACACTGAACAGTTATAATATCAATCCAAACCGCCCCACAAGTCAATGCCAATAAACTTTATCCTTTAGACCTTCATTTTCTTCTCACAATGGCGATCCCGTTAGAGATTCTCAGTTGTTTTAATTCTATGTCTAAGCGCAATATCTTGCTAACAAGGTTTTGCTCTAAGCCCACCAGGTGCTAAAAAGGTATTAACTTTTAGAAACAAGCAAACCTTCTCAGACAAATGCCGAAGAAATTGTTCCATTGTGAATATTCCCACAATGCTATTTATTTGTGTTTATGATGTTATCTGCATAATTTTCTCAGTTATCATATTTTACCTTTGTGGTAGGTAACAGCAATTGTTACGCTGCGCAATACGTATGTATATTTGATATGATTTTATTGCTACGTTACCATCTGCACCTGCTGCAACAACGAGCAGCTCTTGTATAACTTAAATTATCTTTTATTTTCCACTTTTACATTTTGTTCATTACAGAGTTGTTTCATACAAAAATATATGCATTGGCTTTTATTTTTATCTTTGCTGTCATCTCCATATTTTATTAAATGTCTTTATTATTTTGTAGACTAACAGTAATTGTCAGTAACATTTTGAGTGCTTATTTAAAGTTAAGTGCAAATAAACATTAATTAAATTGTGCAGTTAGCTGTCTAACAAGTGTTTATCGCGGAGGGACAGGTGGGCCAACCATAAACAGCGCAAGTTTGTCGAGTTGTTGAAACAGATCCTACGTAAATACAGTTCTCCCGTTTAGTTAGAGACTTGCCAAATCTCGGCTCGCCAGCCCGATGACAAATTAGAGACACTTTGAACTAGGCCACTCCGTTTGATTCGCGTCATGATTAACCCAGAACCTTCCAAAGTAGTTTACTGGAATGCTTCAGTATATCTCAATTACACAAACCTTTAATTCCCAAATATAAAAATGGATGTTGATACATTTTACTATGGTAAAGAATTGTTTCTATTCACATTCTTTTCGCGGTTTGTTCCTTTTATTTTTAAAGCTGTCATTTGCACAAAAACGTAACTGACGCTTAGATTTTTCTACTTTTCTGGATTGACGTCATTCAAAAGCGGAACGAATGGCTATCGAAAATATTGTTTTGTTCGTAGTGCTAAAAAGCCTGCTGCGTAAAACTTCTAAGTATTGAAGGTTAGAAACATTTTCAAAATGAAAAAGTTTGGGAGTAATTTGGTTTTCATTATACTTTTTTACTGTATACTATACTACCCCAAAAAATGACGTTGTATTGCTTTCGAGTACGAGAATGTCAGTTTATAAATAAATATTACTGTTGACTTTTCTATAAATCTGTGCTGAGTAAATGGACATTTTTAATAAGAGCTGCGCAGGATGGTCTAATCTCATGCCGGACAAATATCCGACGCCACGCAAAGCCGATAAGTCACGCGGACTCAACCCTGCCTGCAATCGCTTCGAATAAAACTCGTAAAATTGAACCTCTTTTACTTTTGATGTACAACTTATTTTACTTGACTAGCTTTTATCTACTTTTATTGATACGTTATTTGAAAAAAGATATAAAGATATATTACTTATGTAGTTAAAAGTATGTTTTCTATTAAATAATTGTATATTGATCTATTTGTTTATTCATATCTGTCAGCTTATTTCAATTACTTATGATACAGTTTGTTGAAAGTTTACTTCGAAAAATGTCTAATTGAGACGTAAAGACACATAAAACGACCATGAAATTTTCAATTGTACAAAGAAAGGAGCATAAAAGAAAATCAATCTTCATTTTAAAACGAGAAGGGCAGTCGATCGTAAATTACAATGTCTACTTAAAATTTAAGTCGATTGCGTAACGTTATCTATTACTATAAACTTCAATCAGATAACCTCAATTCATTTTCATTGGCAGGAACATTTTCAAGTTCCTTTTAAAGTTAAGATCAGTTATACAACGGAGGCTGGAATCTGAAAATGAGCCCGAAAGTATGGGAATGGGCTACCATTATCTATTTCATGGGACTTGTAACTTAACTGTCGAAAACTGGAGACATCCAGTGACAATACATGCATATCTGAAAACGCGGGAATAAAAGGCTGGTGATGGCCTTATGTTATATACAGCTTCCACATACGGTTGACAATTAAAATGCCATCAAAATACCTGATCGAACTTTCCACTTTGTGTTGCCATATTTATTTTTGACAAGTTCATTTCTGTTATAAATAACTCAAATTCCATCAAAGTGTTGTGTAAAAGAGCCGTCAAAACTTTGTGATTTGCGCACAGATAGCTTAGATTCTTGAACAAAGTTGTTTTTCCATTAATCCTTTGCGACCTGTGAAAATGATTTAGATTATGCGGTTTCTGACAACTTGCCAACTAGACCTTAAGATATACCTAGTTATAAAGAACTTCATGTATTTAGGTGGAATCTTGTTCTGATTATTTAATATCGAATTTTCATTTGTAATAAATCTTGCGCCCATTACATAGATCGCCTTCATAAAATGAATGAAAATTGAGTGTAAGTACACACCTTGAAACAAGTTTATAAAGTCGTGTACAACAAGGATTACTTTTACTTTTGAATCTTTATATAAGTATCAGAGTTCGTATAATTTAACTTCTTACTTTGTTATTTGTAAGCGGAGATAGTTGAACATGGGATTACCGGCTGAAGAATTAGTAAACAATGTCTCCTTACGTAGTAATTTGGATTAGAGGTTACGGGGCCGGGTTAATGGGGCTCTGGTTTAAAACTCAGTGGTTAGGGAAGACGAGAACCGTGATAGGAATAAATGCGAACTGAATATTTATGAGAACATCTTCCAAAAATGCACGCGACATTGTGAGGTAAACGACAAGGGATGAAGTCAAAGGAAACGATCAAACGATGAGGCCTTTGATTTTAATCTGCATATGTAAAGAATAGAAAAGTCATTTGTGTGTACATTTTATATTTTAGAACTCAATTTTTGCCAAGTAAAACATTTTGGTTTTGTGATATTATCACGATGATACTTTCTAATACGCTACGGGTACGTATAACCATTATAGGAAGTAGATGTACACACGGCTACACATCGAGCTTTACATAACCAGTATAAACTGAACGTTAAATGTGCAGAAAGATGATGCGACGCGACACCAGGATAAACTGGTTTTGTATAGATTGATGTGTGGCCGTGTGTACCAATTACATTGGTAAACCAAAATAAGTAGATCTCATTAATCTATTGAACATGTTAAGTGTTACCATCGATAGTGTTGTAAATTAACACCATGGCAGAGTCTGTTAATCCGTGCTCCAATAGCTTCTGAAGGATACAGAGTATATCTCACAATAACGTAATGAATTAACCGATATTAAACCGATTTACACGGCAGCCGCCCAAAGAGGCATTAAATTTTACCAAGGGATATGCACTATTAATGTCAGCTTTTGGAACGTTATGTTAAGGTTCCCAGAATGAGTTTAGTGCTGTACACCAGACACAATTGCTGACTGCGGTTAGCTCTGAGAATTTGTAAAACCAAAAGCCCAACAGTATTTTAAATCGACACGAACCTGGGAGTCGACAGTTGAGCTCGTGCTCTGGCGATTCAACCAACTAGCTGATTATTGTTGTGGATTATTACGTTTCTATTAATACCTATGCATTTTGTCGTAGATGTGGTGGGCTCTATGGTGTGCCGTGGTGGTGGCTGGAGGCGCTGGCGTCGCAGCAGCACCCGCACCCGACTCCCTAACTCCCCTCGACTTGGTACAAATGGACTCATCAGCGCCTGATGACGTAAGTACTATAGTCATTTGTTTACGTAAGTACTATAGTCATGTGTTACATAGTTTGTATAAAAAGGGTTCTATTTTTGTACAGCTATCATTATTAATTTTTTAACCTTTTATCTTGAAGGTAAACGAACCGTTTGTATATACAAATATGCAAAATTCAATAACAGGTTAATCACGGCCAATATCCATCACAGATAATTTAAATGATGAAATCAACGTAATTATGACTGGAACAGATCTTGAATTTCGTCATCATACGTGACTTTACCTCATTATGATTATAAGGTCAAAAGTCAGGATTATATTTAGATCAGAGAACAAATCACTCAAGAAATTGATTTGGTTTTAAGAAACCACGCTTGTCAAACACATTTTAGACACGTAACAGCAGGTTTACGTCTTAGAAATGGCTTAGGGTTTGACGACTAAGGCTTGTGTACCTAGATAACAGTTTCATAAGACAGTACACAATGTAGACGCACAAAATTTGTGTTGAGCCTGAGTTTCAGCCAGTTCTGACGCGTATGTTTACATGTGAAACCAATTAGTAGGCCGGTTAGTTTGAGTTAGACCACACTTTTGCAACAACTTCTCAATAATGTCGGACACGAAACTCATAATGTTGTCGAACCTACAAAGAAGCACAACGTGCATATTTTACGAATCTTTTAACATTGTTTATATTTGTGTAAATACCAGTTGTTATTTTTATAAGCCCCCGGCAAAAAGAAAAAGTCGGAAACTTTTTTTACAATATTCTTTCTTGTATGCCGTGCTCGCGCGGTGGAAAATTGGCGAATCCATCGGGAACGAATGGGGAATACAAAGAAAATATCCATATTTGGATTTGCACGATATTCGATTGTGTCAACAGTTCCTCGGCAGATGCTTATTTATGTGGATTATAATGTTGTCACAAGTTAGTCGGACGAAGCAGATTTTTGCGACGAAGTTAAGGAACGTCTTTATCCAATTCTTTTTTTTGCAACAAGAGGAAAAGTTATTTGATAACAGATTATACAAAAGTACGATTACAGGGTACAGATATTGTTAGATGTTAACAAAGTAATCCATTGGATAATAGAATCAACGAAGATTAGACATTCATTACGATATTACCGGACAATATTTTACGAAAATGTGTATGATCCTTTCAGGCTATATACGTATTATGTATCCTCATTCCTCGTATATATTGAACAATGTTTGCACAGGAGAGCCTGTACGCGATGTCACCGATGGCTGCACGGTACTCCGCCGGTGCGCCCTGGCTATACCTGCTCGCCGATATGCCCCGGGATTCACAGGTAAATTACGGCCTTTGTCTGTTTATACCTATGGAAAATGGTTACCGGAGGTTTGCAAATACCTTTGCATACCATACAAATTTCAATCCACAGTACTGCATTAGAGTAACTTTTAAACTACGATGTTTCGCTAAAGCTTTTGCTGTATGCGTCGCATTCTGAGGAGACAAAAATGTTTTTAAAGAAGAGACATAATCAGTACCTTATAACAGAATAATAGCTTTTAGGCGCGCTTTAAGTCCAAAATCCGTGTTGGTAATGGATTTGTTTATTCGGCGCGTTTAAATTGGCGTAACGACGAAATCTTTGCGCTACGCTTAATTTTTCCTCACCTAAGGGTAAAGTTCGTTTTGTCAAGGTAAAAAGTGTCCCTGTAATTAGTAAAACAAATTACAATGTCAATTAGAAGTCTGTTACCGTGTCCACTCGCGATCGATAATCGTTAGAGGTGTCAGTCTAACGTGGGATCTGTAAAGTGAACTTAATTGAAGTAACTTCTAATGTCTTTAAAAGCTACGTAATAATAATGAAGTGAGTAATTAAAACATATATTGTATTAAGTTTCATTTGAAATGTGTAAAATTAAGACAGTATAAACCTAAAGTACGAAAGTACGTTCAAAAGTTCTCGTGAAAGTATTAGTTGGAGACTGAATTTGAAAGATAATTACATGTAGAGATAATTGTAGCCAAGAGACGCAAATAGTAGTTAGTAATAACTTAATTAATAACTATTTGCGGTTGAAGTTGAACGTGTAACGTTTTGCCACAGACAATTTAATAGTTTGTATTCGGCCAGTGCCCCGTGCAAATTTTATTTGTCCTGTTGTGTGTAATAGTCGTTATGTTAAACGATGCATACAATTTCATTTACTACACCTGCCTGTGTCCCGCAGATTAACTTTAAAATGTTTTTACACATACATTTTGTTACATTTTAAACGGTCGCGTGTACTTGTATGTTTTAAAACCTCAAACTCCTTTCTACACAAGTTTGCACATTAACGAGTGTTGACCGCAGCTCCTATTTAACTTGAGCAGTAATTATAATCTGTCAAACTTAGGTAGTAACTCGAGCCACCCATACAATTTGTACAAATAATACTCATACACAATTACACATCAACGACTACTACAACTTGACGAACAATGAATAATTATATTAGAGCAATGCTTAATTATTGTACGATATGTTGTTGTTCTAGACACGTTTCCTGATTATTTGAATCAAATCCGAATGAATGTTAATAAGTATTTTAAATTTGACATGTTAAATTAATCAATTTTGTCAGTGGACACCTATCTCTGTTACAATAACGCCAAGCAATATAACAAGCAAGCAAATACAATGTATGCACTTACAACAAACCCTAGATAGGATCGAAAGTGGATCAGCGTAATTTTAGTTGAATAATGCTATAATAAAAAATGAAGCTTCCTGCCAGTGCAATGCAAACGATTTTAAAGTAAGAGTGCTGTTTAAACAATTATGAGCTTTCCTCTATTCAAGATATCAACTTATTTCGATTAAAAAGCAAAGCCAGGCCAAGACAAAGGCCAAGCGAGCGTCACTGCACTCTATCTTATAGCTTCTATAGACCTATTGATGAGGGTCTTGGCTTTCTGCTTTTGTTTGGAATCGTGATCGATGTGATCAGACTGGCTTTAACATTTATTTAATCTTCTTAAGATTATGTACAGTGAATATAAATATGAGTGTGTAACAAAGGTGCCAACTAGCGGACTTGAGATGCGGACTCGCCGGTCATTTTCCGTCAACCCAGCCGTCGAGTTGTTGCAACGAGGTGCCTACAAAAAATACCTTACACAAACCAACAGGAACTTCATCAACAAAGTTGGAAAGCGAGGTTAGAATACATCGGATAATATAATAGTTAAATGTAAAACTCTATGAGAGATGTCACTTTTGCACTCACTAGATGTCACCACTGGTGAGTAAGGCAATGTCAATCCATAACTGCCGCTGTCAAATGTTTATTTGGTAAGTCAACATTAGACAAGACTCACTTTCGATGGAGGTCACGGCGGTGAGTTCAACTACAATAGTCCTTATAAAATATGCACGAGATTTGTGTAAATATGGAAACTAATTCAATAATTTCATACATATGTATAAATGTAGATTAATTTAATGACATTACATTTTCTTGCGATTTGAGAAAATGCCCGCATGTTGCATGTATTCCTTATGGACGTGCATGTACTCCATTTTCGAAAATAAAAAAAAGAAGACCTGCATGTAACACATTCTGTTTCTGTTTTGTAGGATCCTGGCAGAGTCAAAACTGAAGCGGTTGTAGCCAGCTACGTAAGACCACCCTGTGATCGACTTGTTACCATTATACTAAAGTTACGCTCTTCTAATATAGATTTGTACAAAGTTTACCCTTGTTATTTACATCTAAACATGTGTATTTAAAAGATCTGTTGAGAGCAAAATAAAGATAATTCTTTTGTAATGCTGATGTTTTATTTGTTTTCTGAAATCCATCAAGTTTGTTAGAGTCTATGTACGGTTATATGTAACCTATATCCAGGCATATAAAATACTTGCAAGCATACGTTCTAGTCACGGATTCATTAGTCTAATACTCTAATGGATACCGTTCAAGGAATACTAACATCCGAAAAGATTTCGTAAGGCAATCGCCTAAAGACCCTTCAAGGATGGATATATTTTACACAGCTAATTTATTATTCAGTGCATAATGTTCAACTGGCATATTCAGGAGAATTATCAATATCATTGTTATGAATATAATCCATCACATAAATTGGGTCACTGAGATACGCACTACTACCAGCCTGTATTAATGATGATATGAGCCTACTGTGTGCTCTGTTCATTAAGCTAGAATAAATGGCAGCAAGGTGTTTTAATAAGCCACGCATTTATGTATTCGATTAACTTTAAATAGAGTACATTTTTGCATGGAAAGGCCCAAAAAAAGTAAAATATAGTATCCATAATTTGACCTGGAAGTGAGACTAGTAGCTAATGTTGACTCGATGGTGCGTGAAGACTGGCAGTGGTCGGGTGAAACGGCGCATGCCTTCGCTGTCCATCGACATGCCGATGTCTGTGCTGCGTCAGAAGCTGAGCCAGGAGAAGGAGAGGAAGGCCCAGCTAATCCGAGCGGCAGCCAACAGGAACTTCTTGAATGATATCGGCAAGCGAGGTGAGGCCTTCAAACATAACACATAAAACCATAATTGCATGTAGTACTGCTAGATGATGATGATGATGATGATGATGATGATGATGATGGTGACACAAGAATTTAATTAATATTAATATCACACTTTATACGATGGCTCTAAAAGAAAACTACATATAAAAATTAAAACAAATCTGAAAGAATTAATGTTTCTTTGGCCATAGAAATGAAACGAACGAAAGCTTAAATACTTCCATGTTGCATGCAACCTCTTCAAAGATTCTTTACAACATTGAATTCAGTGTTTTGGAAAACTTGAATGATTCATTACCTACGTCTTCCTTTATTGTAAGCATGCTATTTAGTCTTTAATGTTGCAAGCATGCCAGAATGTAATTTTGAACTTTATTTTGATTGAAAGTGGACTAATTTTCGCTTATTCTTTCCAGGTTTCCAATGGTCACCTGCTGCACAGAGTCTGAGTTACTACTAAATCTCGCCAGCCAAGAAATGCCTGCCTACGTAGACTTTATCCAAAATACCAAGGTCCTAAGTACCTGTTAAATAGACACACTTAAATATATATATTACAATTTATCCCATACTTAAATATACATTGTTGAAATGTAGAGTAGTTCAAGCCTGAACTTAGAAAATGTTTAAACAGTAGTATATTTGAAATGTATAGATAGTATTATAATAACGCATTCAGTACATTGATATTTTATTGTAGGCCAAGTACAAAGTATTAATATATTATTTTATAGAATAAATCGAGTTTTATTTAATCATTTTCGTATGTACTTAATTTTTGTTTTAAGTTGCATTACTTAAGTCAATTGCGTATAACTATTTTTCTGTTAATGTTATTATACTAAAGCTATGTCAAACTAGATCATTTTATGTAATAGATAATCTGTATTGTAATGAAATTAAATAATCGAAATAACATCCAATAAACGTCTATTAGATCACCAGTTGTTTTATTTAGCAAACTTTTTGATTTAATATCAATCTCTATTTCAAAAAATTAATGCATGCTTTAAAATTAAATTCCATCTTATAGATGCAGTTAATATTAATCTGAAAGTATTGTTGTGTCACAATTTTTCTGAATTATATTTGAAATCAATCAATGCATTCTCAAATTACCAAATAATTCCAATCGTATCATTACAACCGCTAAACCCATTTGTAGAGAATTTATTTAAATTTATCGATTATCGTCCCTTCGTAAGAAGGTATCCAATAATTTAACACAGAATTGGGGTCACAGTAGCGCCATGATTATGCTAAGAGCGGATTTAAAATGAGACTCAAGAAGAGCTAATTAAGACTAAGGAATTAACTAAATTAATGTTAGAATAATGACATACCACCAGGTTACACTACCTCTATATTTTACAATGGTTCTACAGAACACTTTGAAATTCAGTAGTCTTTTTCTTTGCTTGAATCAGCGACAGATGTGGTTTTCAGTCAGTATATATCGAACAGAGCCTCTATCTCTCACCAAAATAATACAAGTTTATGATAGAAATATTGTAATTTCTATAACAATAGAAATAAGTCCAAATATTTTCAATAGGTACCGAAGCGTCAATATAACGTCCCAAGTACCGTACAAGGTAGTCAAACAATGTGAGGCATAACTGACGGTAAAACAACGATCGGTGAGTGGTACGGAAACCAACACATTATGGTACATAAACATTTCATCGCTTTTTTAGGGAAATCGGCAAGCCATCGAATGAGATGAGAGGAATAACAGAATATACACAGACAATAACAGCTAACTTTCTAGAATAGTTCAAATATCAAGTTATATTCTAAACCCATTTATCTACTGAGGCATAGACGCCCTAACACTAATGAAATTCTTGGTACACCTACGTATTTTTTAGATAATTAGCTATATCAATCTCATGGTGATTAAATTAATTAGTATTTCATTAGGTTATAATTATGAATGATTTAATCAATTGGTCGTACCGATGCAATGTTAGTAGTTCAATTGGATTGTAGTCTAGTAGTCTGTGTTAAATTAATTTGGTGTTACCTATTAACTCTACTTCATTTGACATTGTTATTTGTAAATATAGATTTATGACGCCATTTGACTTATTACATTTGAATGAACAAAGGTCATAATTAATCCTCTGGGACGCAACATTCTACTACATAATATGTGCATGAGTATGAGTTGAGTTGGGGTTGCCGCAGAGGTTGGCGGACCTGCACGAGGGTCGCGCGCGGCCAAAGCGCAAGATGCCATCGCTTTCCATCAACAACCCCATGGAGGTGCTGCGGCAGCGGCTGCTACTCGAGGTGGCCCGCAAGCAGATGCGTGAGGCCAACCAGCGACAGGCCGTCGCCAACCGACTCTTCTTGCAAAATGTTGGCAAACGAGGTATGTAGACTAAGTCGTTTTCTTCTTCTTAAAACGATCTCCTTCCGCATAGATGGTTATTTAAGTTCTATTTAAACCTCACAGTTAGTGCAGTGCTTGTATTCCTTCCTAAACTTATAAATTGAAATTATGCTTGGAGACGAATACAGGAGATAAAATCTATACTTTTTGCATTTCTTCTTTATTAAATTTTCTCTATAAACGTTTTTTATGATATTTGCATCATTTCATAAGTGACCAAAAATGTGTAAAATAAAAGTGTAGAGAATGTCCAATCAGCACAAAAATATACAACAGTAGAACACGCACACAAACCTATGTAAGCACAGCAGAAGATTGAGAAAAACAAAATGGTGTCTATACAATCTTTGCACGTAACCCGAACCTACACCTCGTTGCTTTTTTGATCTTGTCCTGAATGTTAAGTGGGAGATATTTATATCTAGAACGGTCCATGTTTAACCTGCTTAGTATTTTTTAATGAAGATATACAAATTCTCTTTAAATTGCCTTCGGAATACCTATTTGGATACAAGAAAATTTTTTAGTTGATGCTTTAAATAATAACAGCTTTCGAAAACTAATTTTAACATTATTGATACTTGTATGAAATGAGGTAACTAGTGATGTAGTGTCTAATGTTAAAATAAATTTCAAAATTTGAAAAAAATAATTTGTACTTAACATTCTGACATGTTTAGTCCTTGAGACGCACTGGTTCTTTTAAATAGATGTCAACAATATTTGTAACCAGACAAGTAGGGAACTATTTTGTAATGATTTGAGAAATTTTATTTAGGCATCTTTTACAAATAAAACATGATAGGTCATTTCATTTGTGATTTTATTGTAATGTGATTATAATAATTGTTTTTTGTTTAGGATTCTGGGCCAATTCTGCTCCGACCCGCTACGACAACTAGAGCCTTCAGCGACTGACTCCTTTCTGTTTCCTGCGAGCTGTCGCCACTGCCTGGCTGGAAATAAGATATTACGCCAACATACTTACCGCTATAAAACCTCCTTGGAATCCTAAACTATAAATTAAAATAAAGAAGTAAATAAACTCCTTCTGGTCACTGAACAGACGCGCCGTGTTTTTATTTTTGCAAAAACCGGGTGATTTAAAAAATATTTTAATGTATTTACCTTCCATCCGATATACGATACGAAGGAAAGTGTCCACCTACGTCGTCCTTTGTCAATTTCATTCATTAACTTGTCCTTTAATCATTAATGTGTACATTAATAGCCAAATATACGAAATAGGGTTTAGTTCAGCTAATGGTAGCTATTGGCTTGATAAATTCAGATTAATATCGATGTTGACACTCGATGGTGTATCGGATGGTGATGCTCTAGTGGGTGTGTGTTACCCAGCTCAACACACGCCTGTAGGTTGTCGTAATGGCTTGTTTGTGGTGAACACAGCTGTCCCAACTCTCTATTGTATTTCCATAATAGTATTTTTCTACGCTTGTTAATTGTTGTTACTTAGGTCGTTACTTCATTCAAACTTACCGAGAGCATCTCTTCATAGATAGTTCTACTTTTTATGAATAATTTGTGCCAAATTGCTACTTATAAATATAGTATCGATAGCCTCGTAGAGTACCTATACTTTTGTATTCGATATGCCTTTAACTTATTTTTCATACTGTCTTATTACATAATGTGAACGTGATAGACGTTTGCGGTTAGTTTCTACGTAATTTATATGTACAGAGTAGTTTAATGTACTTATATGTATTTTTACGTTACAAATTGATCTCTCATAGCATATAAATTGTAGTAAAAATGTAATAGTTCATACATTATAAAATTACGTTCAATAAAAACGTTAAATTATTCATTTGTGTTTCATTAAAATGTGTGTTATGTGGTCCTTTGTCACGTTAAACTTCACACGAGATGTTTTCAATTGAAATTCCTTGAAAATTACTATTTTGGGAATAACGTAGCGAGTATCAAAGAGCTACTTTGATATAGTATCCGTGCCATGAAGGAATCCATAATTAAATACAGGTATGGAGAGGAACATTTTGAATTCCTGCTACGTAAGCTAAGCAATTTAATGAACAATTTCCTTATAAGTTGCAGGCGATTATGTTCCTACATTACATCTAGGAAAATGAAGTAAATAAAAAAACCCAATCAAGTTACCCGCCCCTGACACGAACGGCGACCCTTTGACCGACATTAATTAGTTTTTATTTTACGCTAAAAATGGTTGTCAAGGGTTAATAAAGTTCAAGTAAATACAGTGCTGACACCAATTTTATGATAAACGTGATTTTTATGTATAAATATTGGATTATAATCTATCTAATTAAAACTTAGTGTAAACAGACTTGGAGACTATTTTCAGTATCATTAAAACCCTGTTCTCGTCCACTGCTGGACATAGGCCTCTCTTATGGCAAGCCACTGAATTCAATCTCTACGGTTCCAACCGCTACCGGCTACTTTGCATCACTCCACCTAGCTGAACTATGTTTGCCTAGACGTTGTCTCCACTCCAGAACACGGGTACCACAACGGTCATCGGTTCTTCGACTTATGTGACCGGCCCACTGCCATTTTAACTTGCTAATCCTTTGGGCTATGTCGGTAACTTTAGTTCTCTGTCGGATCACCTCGTAACGGATCCACATCCTTCAGAGAGACTCCGAGCATAGCCCTCTCCATAGCTCGCTGCACCACCTTAAATTGGTGGACCAGAGACTATTTTAGTTATAGGAAAAGTTGTCTAGTTAAATCATTAGGTACGAGGTCAGAGTAGGCGAAATAATAATGAAAGCTAATTTTACCTTTTAGTCCTTAGGACCAGAACTAAACAGGTTTTTATATTCAGTGGTCGAACACTAGTCCCAATTAAATTATCCTGGTTGTATACAGCATTAATTACACGCGGAGTGTTTCAGGTTAAGTTTATGTAGGTTTTTAGAGATAGCTATTACACGTAGCTATTTTTGGTGTGTTCAATTAAACAGGTTGAGTTCGTCAATCTAGGTTCAAACTTTGGGTAAGCCTAAATCCTTGTTAAATTACGCACACTCATAATTGGGATAATAATGTAAGTTTATACACTCACCTCACTGCACCTCCATAGAGGTGTTATTTCAGCAATAATTACAACCAGCACCATTCAACATCGAACATACAGATAAGTGTTATTGCAGCGAAAATTCAACACTCCACGACAAGGTCACGGCGGGTGCTCCTGAAGTTCATACTATCATAGTACATTAAACATTAGCTCCATAGGTAATATCATGAGGCTAACACGATAGATACTTGGAGCGGCGCGCGGAGCCCGGGGCTTCGTCTACGTGCGATAATTAACGTGATTTAATTTAGACCAACGCCTCGAGAGCCACGTGATTTCATTACTCTTCAACACATTTTCGGTACCGTGAGGGCCTCGCTCTGCTACGTCACGGAGCTCCGTATAGGTAATTTATGAAATATGTACTTGAAGCTATTTTACAACATTTAGGAATGACTAGAAAGCTTGTAAGTATACCTATGTAATTTAATTCTAAGTATGTTTATTGTTACGCCTCTGAGAGTGCTAATTTTCAATGTCAGAGACTCAAAGTACATTACTCGGATTTTTTTAAACATTTACAGATTTTTTTACTCGTTTAAATTGTTAGTCATGTAGTTGCAAGTGTTGCATCCATTGCAAATGTGGCTGTCTACGACAATATCCAGCAAATATTTTGTTAAGTACAAAGAAAATCCCTAAATTTTATTTTTAGATAAATATCAAAGCATTATAGTAGTTATTAGACTTATGTCTACTGAGATAATTTTGCGCGACCACGCACCTAAACATACAGAATAAATACTGATTATATGTAGAAGATATATAGTGTATTTCAAAGCAATCTAGGTAAGTATAAGTACTTTCATTATCTGACTGTCTTGTTCTAGATTGCAAGTACAAAAGAAAATCTCTCGCGGTCGAGTACGGTCCGCCCGGACCGTGGGTTCAAGCCGCACTCGTACATTTTTTCAATTTCCTTATTAATTAATAATTACGTAGTTAATTAATAAATTCTCGTGTTCCATGTTGCAAAATTAATTAGGTGTATACATTGTATTCTGTATAATAAAAGAAAACCTTTGATGGTTATTTTTAAGGGAAGGATGTTTTAAGGAATTATAAAGTTTCAACAATGTTCGTTTTGGAAAATCTCCTTTAGAACTAATAGAAATAAAATAGTATCACGTTTTTAATCATTTACTCAATTAAATAAATTCTTTATTTACAGAAACAGAGAGGTAAGAAAAGGCAAGGTGTAGGCTTAGTTTAAACCGGGTTGGTTGCAGTAACCTGTCTCCAGTTATGTCTCCAGTATTTATTTAAAGTTTATTGTATCTTTTGTAGAGCATTAAATTAACGATTGGATTGAATTAAAATTGAACTGTAATTTAAGTCGTTAACCGCCGCTTTTACCTTGTGGCACTGATTTTATGATGAAGCTAGATATATTTACTGGGTTATTTAAAATCTCGGTAGTAGTACGGAGTCTGGAAATGTGCCCGGTATATGGCAATTGGCTCACCCCCTATTACGTGGGACTCATAACATAAATAGTGAAAAGTGGGTGTTACATTGTACAGTGGCATTAAGTGCCAAAATGAGCATCACCTCTGCCTAACCCTTCGGGGATAAAAAGGCGTGATGTTATTATCTAGAGACATCAAGGATTGATCAATCGATTCGATCACTTCTAGAATCGCTGAAGAGTTTCGAGGTATTTAGAATGGTGACCTATCTTTATAACCACCACATCAAGGGTACATATATTATGTAGTTTAATTTTTATATCGGTTGATACCACTTCGCCCCGTAGCCACGAGCTCCTAGTACCAACTCTACAAGATAAATAAGTTTAGTTGTGAATAGCGAATTCCTGAAAAGGTGAGGTAAAATAACCGAATATATTTATAGGTATGTGGTAAGGTAAACCAATTAAACAAACATACAGTTAGTAAGTAAATAAACACAGGGATCCGGCAAATTGTGGGTTTGTAGTTATTTGTGACGCCATCGCTACCCAATTTTAGTTTTAAATTTTATTCATAAAGGGCACGATGTGTTTTGTAACCAACTAACCACGATAAAGGATAATTAAAATGCGTTTATAAATCAGAGAAACAATAAATGGGATCAAATATTTGAATTCGCTAAACGTGAGGTTGCAGATTTGTGGCGAAGGTATTATGCAAACTGAATTACCTGCATACTTTTGTGTGGTCGCATATATCTATAATTGGGTAGTTTTCAGGGTATCAAAATTAAAAATCTAATTAGTCCGTCAGTTAGATAATAAAAAAATATTGGGTAACGTATTTTTTTATTTTCTCGTATTAAGTTGCAATACTTAGATAAAATGGCGTTAAGCTTAGGAGTGGGAGGTCGTTACGTCATAATGTACTACAAAATGTGGCTCGCTGTGACGTCACACGCTATTTCAAATTATTAATATCGTCGGAAGTAAGTATTTAATTTTATGAGAAAAGAAAAAATACGTGTCTAAAGTTTTAAATCGATGTACCTACTAGACGGACATAAAAAAAAATTAGTAAACTACTCTATTATGTTCCATGTTAACAGTGGTTGTAGTGACGTGTTAACTCTTAGGGCATATTATGGAGTTGTCATGCTCACTCAAAGGTCTCATTGGCGGTGGCGCGTGCAGTGGATCGCTCGATGCCCTACAATATGGTTGAGTTGGGCGATGCTGGTGTAACGTGTCATGTTCGTGAACGGGCGCCGTCAACTGGGACTGGTCAGCTCCAGACTGTATTATTTATTGTCTTTAAGGTTATTTTCTTTTTACCGACTTCAAAAAAAGGAGGAGGTACTATGTTCGGCTGATTGTTTTTTTTTTTTTTTTTTTTTTTTTTTTTTTTTTTGTTTGTTCGCGCAGTACTCCGCCATTTGTGAACCGATTTCCAAAATTCTTGTTTTGTTTGAAAGGGTATACTCCCGAGATGGTCCCATTTCCATGAGGTCAGGATCTGATGATGGGATCATAGGGAAACTGAGGGGAACTTTCGAAAATTCTATGGGCGAGTAATGCGTCTATTATGTTTTTCAATTAGGATTTTGAAACACTACAATTTGATAAGGGTCTGGAGTTGACCTGATGATGGAGCCGACAGGCAGTCGAGGGAACTCCTCAGCGGTTTATATTAACTACCTTGAGTTTGGGCTTGATTAATTTGGATTGATGAGGACTTTACACCTAAATAGAGTAGGGCTGTCATTAAGGATCTGATGATGAAGAAGTGTAATTGTTAAAGGAACTCCTTAACGGTATACAGTAACTACCTTGTGTTTGGGCTTGATTAATTTGTATTGATGAGGACTTTACACCTAGATAGAGTGGAGCTGTCATTAAGGGTCTGATGATGAAGAAGTGTAATTGTTAAGGGAACTCCTCAACGGTATACAGTAACTACCTTGTGTTCGGGCTTTTATAATTTGTATTGATTAGAACTTTGCACCTATGTAGATTATAAGTAACAAAACGTGTATAATTATGTAGCTTTACACTAAAAATGATAAAATAATAAAATAAAAACTGCGTTTAAAAAACCGACTTCAAAAAACCAAAAACTAATAACAAACAAAAAGTCAAAACTAAAAAGCAAAAAATAACTATTATTAGTACTGATAGGTTACCCACCCACTGATAGGTTAGAAGTCGGTTCCATAAGCTCATATTATAATGATATAACTTAATGCCCACAAAATTGTGAATTAGGTACCTATTAAGATTTTAATGAATAATTTTGTATGGAACTTATGGCACCGACTTCTTACCTATCAGTGGGTGGGTAACCTATCAGTACTAATAATAGTTATTTTTTGCTTTTTAGTTTTGACTTTTTGTTTGTTATTATTCGATCACTTTGACTAGATTTTCATGTTACATTGTTCTCGCACAATCCAAACAGCAAACTATGTACCTAACTAGAGAATTGTATTGTGAACCTGATTGAAAAAGAGTAACCTATGGAGTTTATTGCTCGTTCTTTTCCATAGGAATCTACACCTTGGAATGAGCAAAAGCTTCACTTTTATTTTATTGTTGACTTTCAGAAGTGCCTTTTTGGTTTACTTAATTGAAATAAATGATTTTGACTTTGACTTTGAGGGCCTTCGGCCACGGCGACTTTCTGTGGCGATGCAGTGGCGATGCTGTCGCGCGCATCGATACAGTTGCTAAATGCATACAAAAGTAACAGTAACACACGTTAGTATCGATGCTGTCGCGCTTTTAGTGAACGCGCGACAGCAACGCTACAGAAAGGCTCAGTGGGCGAGGGCTCTTAATCTTCTTAATACCTACCTAGTCCACAGTTAGATGCAGTAAACGAATTTTCAGTTTTGAAACATGACATTACAGGATCGCAAAAGTATTTATTGAATCTATCGGTGTTCCTATTTAACGATCTACACAACTATCACAATTTGATGCCATCTTGGTACACCAATGCTCTTCAAGCATTTTTAAACATTACTTTAACCTTTCCAGAATCTTTAGGTATGTATGTCGTCTGAATGTACGTATCACAAGTATTTACCCTTATTTTATATAACTTCAGCACCTAATAGGTAAGTACCTAAATATAAACGAGGACTCATTAGCTCGCCATTGTCCGCGCCTCGCACACACTCCTACCAAAGAAACTAAACATTTCTAAAAATAATATGTATGGAAGAAATCTTGATTATACCCACACTCTCCATGAACACTGGTTGGATATGAACTCGACGATGTGTGTCATCCGTCGGCCATATTAAAACTAAAACAAACACCAGCATGAAGGCTAGGTTCACTAGAATTTTAATATGAAACCTCTTTCAAGTTTGGTTAGCAAATAGTTGCTCGAGAGTTTAATGCACTGGTTTTTCTTTATGTAAGTACTTGGACTCTGTGAGGGTAGAAAATTAAGTAAAATAATATTAGAAAAAAAATCACTTAATAGGTACGAAAAACAGTGATATTATTCATGAACGGATTAATTAAAAGACAGGAATGGGAATTAGAATTTGGGTACTAAAGAGTGTTTATCTGTGTTAGTCTTAGATTGAAATTTAAATTGTAGTCATTAAGTCACTGGCAAATATGAGATATAATCACTAAATAATTAAACAACTGTAGAAAAAGTATACCACATAAGTACGTAAGTATGCAAATTTTAACAATTCCATCAAAAAGAAGAGCTTTTTACAGTACTTAAACATCTACAATTCTTTTTTTATTTTAGCAAACGTTTAGTAATATGGTTGTAACGTTAGATGTTCCTTTTAACTCTGCACTTCGCAGTACTTTCTAGCAATTCATGCCGAACCAATTTTAAAATGTTGCTGCCATGGTAATATTCTTTGAAATCATTCTCATCTTATTAAAATAAGATTAAACACAAAGATATTCATGACACTATACAAATGTAGGTATTGCTGGTACCTCAGAGCTCTGCCAAATGAAAATAATTGCATTTATTTTAGTTATTAGTGACATATAGTTTACTTTAAGTTGGTACAGGTACCCATATAGCTAATGACACTGTTAGGGGGAAGGTTAAAAATGAAAAACCTGTGAGGATTTTCGTAGGATCTCGTGATTAATAGTGGCAGTCACGTTTTTAATCACTAGACTAGACGGGACATTTACTATATATTTCAAAAGTAAAGTCATTCTACCATTAATCGAGAGCTTACCTGTTTGTACTAGTACCCATGGCAGCACTTACCATCTTTCTATGACGATTTTAAAGGAATTCAGTGATTTGTAAAGTTGAAGTCAAAAGCAAAAATAATGAGTCTGGTTGTACCACAGAGGCGTAAAACATTGTGTCCCAAAATACATATTTAAATCAAAAGATTTCGTCTGCGATGTCGTCTCATGATTTTGACTTTTATTGAAGATTTTTTTAGTATGTTTTTTTTTGTACAAACAGTAGACTGACGATGCGGATCATGTATACCTATATTACCTATCACATAAACCCTTTTGTAAATAATAAGATCATCGTGAGAATGAATATCAGTATCCAACAGTTAGCACGAAGTCGCACAGATAGAAAAAAAACCGTCTAGACTGTTTTGTATTCAGAAAAAGTCGTCGTGTGAACGTATTTTTAAAATTTCTCATAAGACATTCGTACATTGCATTTGCATCGTCCTTTTAAAATAAAACTTATAAACAGATGCGATTTCTTATACAAATCACGACCTCCATTGAAATATCAATGTTCGTACCAATGTCTTCGTAATAAAAATTCGTGCACATACCACACGTAGCCAGTATGCATTATTCAGTGTTATAAACTGGTAACCGATACAGATTACTTCTAAAAATGCACAAAAACAAAATCCAATAATTTACTTGTACGAGGAAGAAATATTAACTTAATGGTGAAGAGGTTTGATTCTATTTGATTAGATTAATGTTATATCGACGATACAATGGTACTCCGCGTTGCTAGGAGACGCGAGTACCTACTGAAGCGCTCAACTTTTAAGACTTATTTGGTCAATAATTGAAACTAATTTCTACTAAACGTTCTTATAGTTGAAACTTTTTAATATCTGGTGTAAATTCCTATTGTGTTCGAGTTTACGAGACATGGAACAAAATGAAAGGTAATGGTTATTTAGAGATTTATTTTTCTCTTTAATATTGTTAGACAATGTTTATTAAACTTCCAACGAAGTGTTTGTTTAATATTTCCAAGAACAAAGAGGAAAAGGCCTGTCTGCTTACATTGTTTTGAAGTTCTGTCATTAAAAATAATTTTAACCAATCAAGTAAGACAACGAACCAACGAAACGATAGTCATTAATATTCAGACACTTCATTACAAACTTGTAACTGAGACTTTTTTAACAAAATTTAATTAAAAATGTTTTTCATTAAATTTCATTGCATTCGTATCCAGCACTTTATTTGAGTAACTAATTAATTGTGTTGAATTCTTTTATTTGAGTAAGTAAAGCACAAAATTCTATGATTTTAATACGTAAAACGTTCTTGTACATTTTTTAAATATAGTTGTTCTAATAAAACAAATCCCACTGTTTAACATAAAAAATTGGTCATTAGAAATATCATACATTCAACAAGTACAAGCAACCTCAACCTTATTTCAATCGAATACATGTACTTTTGATTTGGCAATACAGTTGTAAATAGTGAATTCCTATTTCACTTCACTATGGCTCGGAAAAACTCATTATGCCCTCACCGCTTCCTTGCCGTTCTATTGTTAAATAACGATCAGTAGACAATAATTGTTGTATCGGATACTCGGATACTCGACGTGGATACTTGTACACTCGGATATTAACCCACTGTTGCTTGCCTCTTCATTAAATCTCTCCCTTCGATACAAACGAGCTCGATTTCAAGTTATTAAAAGTAAAAATAATTTTCTTTTTAATGAAACGTTTGTTTGCTGATGTTTTTTGTAGACTAATAAATTGATTTTCATAAATTAAAAAATATAATCGGATTGGTATCTACTTAGTAACTATATAACAGGTAGACAATAAAAAATCATTTAAATATTTTTGATGAGCTTTTGGTACTTAACGTATTATACCATATTTTAGATACATTATGTATAGATAGATACTGTTTTTTATATTTTTAGGTATACACTTCAAGTAAGTAGTTACCAATTTCTTACTTTTATTCAGTTATAACACGTAGTTGAGTAATATTAGTGAAAATAGCATCATAATAAAAAGTAAAATGGAAAAATAAATATTTGGAAGCGTAGGTGTATTGAAAATATCTTGCTCTTTCTTTTTAATAATAATAATAATAATAATATTCTTTATTGTACACCACATAAACACATAGGACAAACAACAATTAATATAGTGCACAATGGGCGGTCTTATCGCACAAGGCGATCTCTTACAGACAACCTTTGGATGGAGCTGTAATAGGAGTCAGATATGGGTCGTCAAGTGTACAAGTTAAAGACTTTAAAAAGAAAATAATAATAATATAATAATAATAATACCGTGTAAACCATAATATGTTCTATCATAATATGTTTCTTTCTGAACGTTAATGGCTATGACGTCATACTTAGTTATGCAACCTTTTTCTGTAAACCAAAATTCAAACTAAATTGAATCGTGGGAGTGAATTAATTCTCGATTTAGTAAACAGATGCAATACAAAATAGTGTATAGGCCAAGCTTAAAATTGAACCTGGGAACTTGTGTTCGGTTGCCACAACAATCACTCCACGGACTTGTATTAGATTCTAGATCTTTTAATTAAAGACATTATGGTAAATAGGAATAAGGAGATGTTAATTAAAAGTTAAATTAGTTACTTTAATATTAATAGCGTCTGTCCTAAAATGGAGTCCGTAAGTACAAAAAACTAACTAACTCTCTTCCCGTGGTTTCACCCACACATATTTTAAAAACGTCATTTTGAATAGGAAGCAACATTAGAATCTTGAAGAAATATCTATACTAAAGACGTCTATTTTTCAATTTCACTGAGCAACCCGCTACCGCACAACGCGTAGCGGTTGCGATTCCCATAAGGAGCAACTCTTTATGTGATCCACAAATTATTATTTTGGGTGGTCTGGGTGTCTGTGTGTATGTTTGTAAACGCACTCACGACACAGGAGAAAATCCTAGAGTGGAGAGGTTGCTATTCTTTTTTTTACTAGGTATTTGACTAGTGAAAGATTTTTTAAAATTCGACAAGCAGTTCAGAGCTATACCACCAAAAATATTTTGGTAAGTAATGGATAATCATCAACAGCTCGTGCTCATATATAGATACACTGGACTTGATCTACATTAGAGTTGGCCATTATTTCCTCGCTTGGCAGGTGGATTGGAGATAGCAGTTCAAGTTTCAGGATCATCAGAGACCGCTGCTGTCCGGTCTCTATCATTTGTATAGTTTCTTAGTAGACTGTTATTACACCCATAGGAACAGTAGGATTAAGGATTGGTAAAATATGTTTTTAATGGCCGGTAACCGAGCTGACGGATCACCTGGATGGTAAGCAATCGGCGTCGCCAGGAATTTGAGGATAGTTGGGGATTCAGGTATTATTGGGGAAGGGGTAACCTCACTCACACGACGAAACACAACGCAAGCGTTGTTTCACGTCGGTCTTCTGTGAGGCCGTGGTATCACTCCGGTCAAGCCGGCTAATTCGTGCCGAAGCATGGCTCTCAAAGTGGTCTACTGTCATCATCATGTGGCATCGTATATAACATTACTATGTATATATGTATAATGAATCCCTTTTTCCCTTGGTCACGACATCAGGCGTGAATGTTTTTTTGTTGTATTTGTTTTTATCAGGAGGAGGTTCTTAGGACAGAAAAAAGATCCTGAAAATACTACAACGACGGGAGAAAACGGGGTTGCGCGTACGAAGTCGCGGGCAGAAGCTAGTTATAGTATATTATAAAAGTGAAAGTTTGTGTGTTTGTGTATTTGTGTGTGTGTGTTTATTATTCAATCACGTCAAAACGGCTGAAGGGATCGATATGAAATTTGGAACAGGGATAGATTATGGTCTGAAGCCTATGTATTATAGGCTACTTTTTATCCCACAGGAACGCGGGTGAAGCCGCGGGCAGTAACTAGCACTTATTATATTACAGACTGTATGTGTATATACCTAAGAACAATGTAATTATAAGACAGGATAAGTACGCGACTCGAGTAATCGAGCTCGTGACACGGCATTTTAGCTGAGCACTGGCTTTTTTGCACCGATTGTTGTTTTTTTTAACTATTTTGTTCCTTGTTTTTTCTGTAATGGTGCAAATAAATTGTTTTTCTATCTTTCTTCTTCTTACCACCGTATCTGAATATGAAAATGTGGAATAATATAAAATCACGTTTTGTGGCAGGATTAGTGAAATGGACGCTCTGCTGTTCGCGTTGTCGTTCGAGGTGGTTTTACTGCAAATGAAGATTTTAGGTGAGCACCTACCTATCTTCCATTATCTACTAAGTCCTTTTTAGTTTTATTCTTAATAAAAAAATAGTGAAACCCACTCAGATGCACGTCAGTATCTATTTATTTTTAAACGGTTTTTAAATTAGATTTCCATTTTATTATGTTTAATATGTTTAGATACCTACCTATTTAAGTTTATAAATATTTTTAAGCATCCATGATGAGGTGTGGGAAAAGTTCAAATAAACTACCTCTGGCAAAACCACAACTTGCGTACGAATCTAGTTTCACCGAAACTATTTAGACTTGAGGTTAATTGAGTTTTATTTTGCGTAAATCGATCCTTCATCGTAGCTAATGTATTAATCTCCAAGAGTCTAACTTAGATGTATGTTTAAGCAACACATACAAACTGCATGATAGTCATTACCAATACCGTACTTGTTAAATTTTTGGACCTTATGAAAACTTTAAAACACCGTGTGATCATACCCCCAGCGCCATCTATGATTTTGTAGTAGTGAAAGTTTATTTACAGAGGGCAGTACGAAGCTGAGGTTGGCAGACTGGCGGCCGGCAAACAAAATCGAGAAACTACAGGAAATAAAGCTAGAGAAAGACCGGTACGTTTTTCCTATGTAGAGAAAGATGGCGTTACAACGCAGTTTGGTAAAAACCATCCATGATATAAGTTTTATTGGGTAGAATGGTGGATATGAATGAACGGTCTTTACTAGATTTAAAGTTAAATAAAAATCCCTTAAAGGTTAAATTTTTTAACTGATTTCCACTGTTACTTTCTAATTCTGCTAAAGTGTCTGTTTGCCTTATTGATTGCTCCACATCAACAAGTATTTTTATAACATAACCCTTCAAAGAGGCTCAATACGGCCACGTGTTATTTCAAGATCCTTTTACTTCACTTTCTTTCTTCTTTAGTTAGATACTTTCCGCCATTTAACACAGGAGGATTCTAATGATTTGATACAGACCTTAATAATCATCCAATCATGTCACAGGTCGCTGGTAAATGACGTGATTAGAAGGACTCTCATCGAAGTAGCAGAAACAGGAAGATGGCAGGCGATCACGAATGCTGTGGATCTGCTCAAACAGTCGGAGTGTGATGTAGAGTCATTGAGAGTCACCAACCAACATCTCAGAACGTAATGCACCTATATTATGCATTAGAAGTAATATCAATGACATGATGTTACCGAACTACCTTAGCTAAGATATTACTTTGGCTCTTTCTTAGTTTTCTTTGACGTTGACGCACACGAATCCCTTGTGCACTATATCGATATAAGCTGATATACCTATTCCAAAAAATATATCTCAAAGGGGCTAAGGGGCTAAGGGTCTCGTGGTTCCTTTGAAAGTAACCGTAACCCGTAATTCAGTTGAGTCAAAGTCTCAGTGAATCTTTTTCAGATTCCTGAATTCATTTTTATCCACAAGAGACAAGAATCCTTGTCGGCGTAAGCAGTCAACGGCTAATAGATGTACTACTTCTGATGTAATGAATATGTAGTTTTGATAGAATATAGAAATCAATGAAACATATATAACATAACATCACGCCTTGTTATCCTCAAAGGGGTAGGCAGAGGTGCACATTCCGGCACTTAATGCCACTATACAATGTAACACCCACTTTTCAATAGATCAGTTATGAATCCCATGTAATGGGGGTGAGCCTATTGCCATATACCGGGCACATTTCCAGACTCCGTGCTACTACTGAGATTTTTAAAAACCTAGTAATACTTTGCCCGACCCTGTAATCTAACCCGAGACCCCTAGCCCGGCAGTCGCACTCGCGACCAGTCGGCCAACGGGGCAGTCTCGTGAGATCAATGAAACAATGCACTATATTTTGTAAAAAAAAATAGCATGAATAAAAAATACAATGTTTTCAGAACTCGTAAAACACTGGCATCAGAATTAGATGCGAAAAGAAATCAATGGGCGCTGGAGCTGCACAACGCTGATCAGAAAGTACCTGTTCTTAGAGACAAAATGAGTGTGCGTATATCGATTTCTATGAAAGTGATAATTACATGAAGTAATAAACATGCTGATGCTGGTAATTCTCAGTAGCGAACGCCGTTTGCGATACAGCCATTATTGATATGAGACCAGTGATGCGTTACTGGGAGCGTAAAACAGAACGCTCTTCGCAGAACATTTGTGAGAAAGCACAGTCCTGGACTATACAAGCGTGTGAATATGTGCTAAGTAAACTTCTCTCTAAGTCCGTTTAACTAGCAAACGTTTTAAGTACAGTAGTACAAGTAAGTAAATTAATATAGCAACAAATTAAATAGCACCTATGAAATCGATGTCTATGCATGATGACCAACTGATAAAATGTCTATTGAGTACTTTTATAATACCTTTTGACTGAGTTAGTGGCAAGCCCAACACTTCAAGGGAAGGGTCTCCCTTGAAGTGTTGGGCTTGGGATTTTAACATACCTACATGTTTCTATGTGACTTAACTTCATTCAATCCATCCATGCCGTTAATAAAATTGACATATTATTTAGAGAAAGTTTTCCCCACGTGATTTCCGGCACATACTTACATACATCTAGATTCACAAGCTCGATTGATACTTCAACATCATGAGGCGTGGGCCAGCCCCAATATTAGGAGAAACCAAATCATTTTATCGTCATTAAGACCGCCATTTCTTGTTATTGTGACGTAAGCATTAGGTAGGTACCTACTCACCTACTTACAAGTTGTGTGGTTACGAGAAAGACGCAAACATGTCTGATTGATGAATCACAATGATAGCAAGCCAATAGGTACCTAACTGTTACCGATAATGAAACATATTCATGTAAATATGTAACCGTTATTTTCCTAAATTGTATGTTAGATGATTTAGGAGACTGTCTGCTTAGTAATGAATTTCAGCTCAGGTTCGAATCTCGGGTTCTGCTAACTCAGCTTTGTATTATTTGGTTTTCAAGTTTTGTAAGTTTATCACATAACCGGAGAAGAATTAGTGTTGCACACAGTGTTGCATTTAAAATATGAAACTTTGTTCCTCTCTTTCATATTTAGAAAATAAGCTCATTTCATACTTAGAGTTTTTAATCTAGAATAAGATTTATAGCGTAATATGTACCCCTATACTTATTATATATACTCTTTGGTAACGTCAGATCCAAAGATCGCTTTTGTATCTATGGAAGAATTGCCAATTAATCATTCCTTCAATAAAATTTTCTGACGTTGGAGAAATCCATAATTGAAATAAAATGCTCTGACATCTTCAGTATCTTTTAGGATGACCTTCACAATGCAAACACGCGGTTGTGTTACGCTGAAAAATGGCTGTTCGCACGTTATGAGTCTTTGGAACTAAAGCTGGACGTGCCACGAGCACCACCACCGCGCACCGACCACGAACAGCGCGTCCACGAAGAGTTGCTCAAAGCTTATGAACTACAGATCGAAGTATGATACCTTTTTCATGAATAACCCATGTATAATATAGCAAGGCCGTATAATATCGTTTTACATACATAGGTACCTTGTAGATAACTACACCGATCTGTAATACAAACCTACCGCTACATTATACATTTTTGTTTACTTTCAAACAAAACAATACCCCAACTAATGAAGAGGAAAACTTAATTGAAACCAATCAAATCAAACATCAAAAACTTTCTTGTTAATTAATAAATAGGTACTCCAGGAACTTCGCAACAGTTTCTAGAAAATGAATGAAAAATCGATGATAATTATTGACTTCTCAATCCAATAACAATAGGTACTTGGTAACGTAACAAACAGCAAGGAGTTTAATACGAGGAATTTTGTTGAAAGGAGCATGAGAAAAGTTTGGAATACTGGCGACATCGTTACGACATCGATATTGCTGAAATAAGCTCTAGAAGCCAGAAAAAATTGGAACAGCTACTCATCGCCACAAGCAAGAGAACTGAACTACAGAAATTGGTATGAGTCATCTAATGTCTATTTAGTCAATATACATAACTACCTATTAGATACAATATTTACTACACAAGTATGTTCCTATAATTAGGTACCTACCTATTATACGTGAGCGACACGGTTCGAACAATGACTATCAAAGTATATCTAAGTATCTATTGATCTAGAGAGGTACCTATCAAAATACTTTTCACATAAGAAAACCGTCATAATTTAATTGAAAACCCAAATTAATTTAGATTTGCAAGTTACATCTTAAAATACAGAGTATAGATAATTTAATTAAAATAAGTTTTACAGACTTTAATTTCATATTTAACTTTAAGTAGTTACAATATTATTATAAAGTGATAATAACTACTTTTCACAAGTAAAATAAAAGTTTGGTTAATTTCAGTATGACCTACACGAAGGTGAAATGCGAGGATGGTTAACATTCAAACAAGAACGAGCTGCCCGTTTAGAGCGCGAAGAGAAATTGCGGCAGTCCGCCATGCGTATACAGGCATGGTGGCGTGGTGTCATGGTGCGTCGGGCTCTTGGACAGTTCAAATATCTCAAAAATGTCAAAGGAAAGGGTAAAAAGAAATAAGTTAGAACATATTATTTTCAAATAAGATTAAAAAAATTACAAGACGAAAATTTCAAATAAACTTTTGTGAAATAATTATATAGTTTTATTTTTACATGAAGTTGAAGATTAACTTAAAAATGTATACAGTAAAATCCCCCGTTTTGAATTATTTATAATTCTGTAATTCAATTAAGAATATTTTACCTTCTTTTGTTCTAAAGACAGTGTTTTTCTTAAATAACATAAGGAAAGGAAAATAATAAATACGTACAACTTAAGATACGCTAAAACAATAGAGAAAAATAAATGAAATAACATTAAAAATGAAAATTCAAGATTAAAACATAGTGTGCTTTACGTATAACGAAACGTTTGCAAAACGTCATTTCATTTTGACAGATGTCATCTTCACGTCAATTGCGTGCCGCTAAATGTCTGTCGGCTGTCAGATCCAGTCGCATGCGTTTGCTTGTTGTAGTCGGTTCTATTTGTGGTATTTTTTAATGGTGAAAATAAAGTTACCGATGTAAATACTAATATAAAACGAAATAATTTATTATAAAAACATACGAACTGTTAAACAAGTGTAGTGTGTTGTACTGAACTGTGATAAATACTGTATATTACGAGTTTGCCGTATTTTCAATTCTTGGAAAGTTGGACTGTCATCGAGCAGATTCGGTGAGTAATGCCGTTTATTTTTTTTATTTGTAAAAGCTTTAGATTACATGCCTTGTGTGAAATGTAAATGGCACGTTACCGCTATAAAAGTACAAGGATTACTTTAATTAGCGCGCATAAAAACAGCATCATTTTTCTCAGAAGAGGTATAAATAATTTCTCTTAGATTCGTGCAATAATGTACTTTCACTTTACATTCAATAATTTCGCAAGGTTTAGACTGTCTCTATACTTTTATAAAACTTTCCTTCTTAACAGCAACATCTTTTGTTCTTAGAACTTACCTCATTGAAGATATAAGTGCTTGCCTAAAAAAAAGGTTTTTTAGGACAGGTAAACATTTATGAATTTTCCTGGAAGTTTATAGCTAAGGTATTTTCTTATTCAGCCAATGTTTAGTATTTCCCCTGCTAGGGGAATTTTCAGACTAAAAAGATGTTCTCAAATGGTCTTGTGGTTACATTATACTGAATAGATTTTTTATCTAAAATATAAGTACATTTGAATTGCAAAGAGTGTCATGTTTGTACCTGTATGACTCAATAATCATTTTGTAATCTATTATCTAAGAATTTATATGAAGAGAATGTTAATAAACATTTCATTCTTTTTATTTAATTCAAAATATAATATTTCCTAAGTACTCATACAGTCTGTTGGTAAACCCAAATTAATTCCCATAATAAATGATATACACTAATTTGGGACATACTATACAATTATTTGTACAATTTATACATACTGTAACTTCTAAAATATTAAAGATCTCACCTTTGACTAACAGTTAGTTTCAACAATGACAAATGAAGGCCTTAGTTAGTCACAAACTTTTTGGAAATACAAAGATGGCTTCAATGATGTGCCTAGATGAGTATTAATGGAAAATTGTAGTATAGTGTACACAAAATACTAACCATCTTGAATACAAATGTTGAGGTAAACTCATGAATGGCTGGACAAGATTTAAGCACATTTAGATTCAATGCATATTGCAAGTAGCCTTGACCAGCAACATACTATGACATTAATGGCTATTCCAGTATTTACCTTACAATTACAATAATTACTTGAAACAAATTAAAGAGATGTTTTCCAAGAAAAAAATACTAGTTGCAGTAAAAAACTAAGTATGATAAAAAATATACTAATTAATAAAAAAGGACATGTAAAATTGTGACCGAAAGAGGTGGTTTATGTGGCTGCGGCCGCGGCGCGGTGGCAGCGCACGGAGGCGGTTCGGCGCGCGGTAATTAGTGCGTTAATCGCACTAACCGGGTACACAGTTGATGCAAGTGCGTTTCCGAGAAGCCGATCAGCGCAGCTCGCGGGAGGAGCGGCAAATTGCCGACAGATATGTGTGCCGCCTGTCGGTAATTGCAAAAATCACTCGCCTCACCGCGGAACGAGCTTGTGGTCCTTGTATTACAAGAACAACTCGTGTGTGCAACTACTGGCTACGTCTAAATGCATACACGTATGTATAGCGTGCACCTGCACCTATACGCCATGTACCTGAGGCGTGTTCTCGGATGCTGCTGACTGCCGATATTGGGTTGAAATGAGCACGTAGGCTAAGCGACATGTTTCGTTTATAGTGATATTATCGGTTCCATGTTATTGCCGATCCCATTCTCAGTAAACTTGATAGCTTTGAAGTCGCAGAAACGTGCGGTACCTACCTACCTATTACTGCAATAGGTCATTCATGTATTAATTTGTTATTGGAGTATCGTAATGGGCGGTTATTGAGGTTAATTCTTTCACATTTTCCTTAAATCAGCCTAATAGCTCTCCCGTCAAAATGGTTTTTGTATAAACAAAAAATTCCCTTCCACGGTCTGCTCTGACCTAAATTTTAGAGAAACGAACTACTTTAACAATAACGTCAATAACTTTCCAGCATCTCGAGATCTTTAATCAATCTCGACCCAATTCCTACAGCTGCGAAAGTAATTTATTGCATTACTGTTATCAAGAAATAACTAATCTGTGGTAACTCTGAATTGCATTGAAGCAAATAATAAATCCCTTATGACGCGAGATGCACACAATAAACAATGCAGTACTAGGAAGTCTGTAATTATCTTGAATTTGTGTTACCTACCATACCAACATAACATAATTATCATTTTAGCCTATATTCCGCAGAGCATAGTCCTATATAAAAGGAAGAATAGAATATAAGTGGAACATTTCCATTTAAAATCGGACACTTCCATTCACCTAGAGCTAGAAGTTATTATATCCATGTCCTTACCTATTCTGTTAACGACACACCCACAAATTATCGCCGAGGCTTTAACATGATTCACATGTCTTTCATACATCGTAGGAGCACTAACGTTAATACGTTGTATCTAACTACGTCATTCGACACATGATGCGACTTGTTCTTTTAAAGTAGGATAAGTCATAATTTATTTAGGACATTATACCGACTGATTAAACAAACATGTTGCCTCCTAAAAGACAACCTGCGAGAAATGATTTCCAAAAAATGGCATTTGAATTTTTTTACATCATAATTTGTGCCCGAAAAGGAATAAGTGCCAAGGTACTTCTAGTTACTTCACCATGTAAAATGTACAGCCTACCAAAAAACCGGCAACTGCATTACCATTAAGTATTGCTTTTCTAAGAACGGCTGGGTTAGGGCCCCGTCACTCGCGCAGTTGCCGATTCGTGGAATTACTTATAACCTAGGTCATTTTATTTAATAATTCACTCGAAAGATTTTATATTTTAATGTAACTAACATAATGTTAAACATTTCGTATCATATTACAGATTTTGTGCCTTGATTTCATATGATTTGCGATCTCGGTTAGAAAATAAGTTGGGTTTAGAGAGTCGAAGAAACATGGGTAATAAACACCATTCTGGGCACAATACACGTTGTTTGCATACAAATTTGAAGCTAGCTACAACAAAAAGCACTAAAATCTCTATTTTTTTTGCAAATGGTAAGTAGAATTGCCACTAAAACAATAAAAGTTGAACCGGTGTCGCGTCGGGTTTGCTCCCAGGTAATGCCAATTTACTCTTTGACGAAGCCGTCACACCGTTCCATTTCTTTTGTCTACTTTAAGTTATAAAACTTACGGTATTAAAAGCCACAACAATATCAGGACGAAGGACCGATAACAATCACAGTATCTACGATAAACCAACTAGGTACTCACTTAACAATTATACGAATTAATCCTTGTACTTTCTACTGAGGTCGGACCGATTGTTAGTTCATTGTTTGAAACCCGTTCAGTTTTCCAACGAAATAGAATTACGCACATTCAACTTCTACCTATTGTGTTTCGGGAAACAACAGTTAGTCGCTGCTAGAAGTTATGAATTATATAAATACCATGCAACTTTTACGGGTACAGAAACCTAGGTACGAAATACACGAGGAATAATACCTATATTCGCAAATAATTTCTTCAATAGGTCATGTCCTTATCATGTAACGTAAATTCCATTATGTATATACATTTACCTTATTATATTCTTTATTGTAACAACAATAAGTCACATTGTCTGGATATTTGAGGTATCATTTAAACATTCAATTTATGAATGAGACTCAATTAAGGAAAATATATGTGACGTTATCGTTTGAACGTGACGTAATCGGCTAAAAAAGTGCGATTAGAATCGAAGGTTGGATTTGAAGCTGAGAAAAAAATGCCAAGTCGGTCAGTACTTTCAAGAACTTGCGATTACGTAGGTCTACCCACTCTACGTATTTGCTTGCCTATAATGAATATCACTTAAAGCAGAAACTTCCAAGATCTATTATAATAACTCATTTACAATCCAAATTATGAATATTTGCTATTTGCATAGTAGGTTAACAATTAATGTTTTCTTTATAAAACCTACTGTTTACCTTGTTAGTTTATTCTGTTGGAAATTTCAGCGAAACGGCTTTCAATTCAATGCGCAATACAATCCTAAGAATATGATTCATTTGAACTTGAGCACCCATCGAGTAATTAATAGTCTTTTAGGGTAAAGTCTGAGTTAACCCATTTGGGACCAAATACAAACTACACATAATTTAATAAAAAAAACTTTATTAACTCAATGATATGACGCCCACAAACTACTATCAGCAAAAAAAAATCAAAAAATATATTTAGAAGTATTAAAAAAAATGCCGTCCTTGATTGGGGACAATGGGCTCATGTGTAGTACTTTTCGAAGTAGTAACTGTTTTCGACACATAAGGTTCTAACGCATTATTTGCATTGATATCACAGTTTTTTTATAGCGAACTGCGTGTCGTAACAGATATTAACTAAATCTCTGCGGAAAATGTCTAAATCAATTTGATGTGACGCGCCTATATTTTTTTTGAGGGTAAAAATCATGCATTG